CCAGTTTAATATTAAGGTCACTACTGCTGTTTTCTTTCTTTACCTTGAGATCGCTTGAGGTCCAAGACCCGCCTGGCCAACATGGCAAAACTCCATCTCCACTAAATATATAAAAATTAGCCAGGTGTGGTGGTGCATGCCTGTAAATCCATTTACTTGGGAGGTTGAGACAGGAGAATCACCTGAACCTGGATCTTGGAGTGAACCAAGACAGTGCCACTGCACTCTATCTAGCCTGGGCAACAGAGTAAGACTCTTTCTCAAAAAGGAAAAAAAATCAGATAAATGCTTAGCTCACCTTTCAGCCCCTCTTTTTTCAATATGACACATTAATATCACAGACGAGTTTTTTCTTGCTTCCCTATTATTGTTAAGGGCCCTTATCTTATAAGGAGACTGTCAGACAGCTCTGGTTAAAGGGGACCAGTGAGGCCAAGGTTCCAAATATAAGTCTCATATGAATCAAACAGGTTCTTTCTTCCCCATGGGCACAAACTGCATCTGAACTGTTTTCACTCATAATACTTCTGACACCAAATGTGTGTGGGGCGGGGGGTGGTGGTTCTCACACCAACCAATTCTCCAACTCTCCAGATACCAAATGGGTGTCCCACAATTCACTTCAGTTCTGACACTAACTACCCAGAGGCAACATCAGACGCTAAAGGCTTAAGGACTCAGTCTCACAAAACTACCCCCACTTTCAGACACAAGTTACGAATTCAGGGGTTCATACAACCCCCTCCTCAGGTTCCATAATTTGCTAGAATGACTCAAAAAACTTAGGAAAACACTTTATTTTCTCTTACCAGTTTATTATAAAGGATACAGCTCAGAAACAGTCAAAGGCATAGGGCAAGGTATGGGGAAAAGGGTGCAGAGCTTCTATACCCTCTCTGGGAGTGCCATGCTCCCAGCACGTTAATGTGTTCACCAACCCGGAAGCTCTTAGAACCCCATCATTTAGGGGTTCTTATGGAGATTTCATCACATAGGCATGACGGAGGAAATCATTGGCCGTTGGTGACTAACTCAATCTCCTGCTCTCTTCTTTCCCCAGAAGTTGCGGGGGAACTTCCTTTTTCAACAAATGACAACTACGCTTTTATTTGTATATTGTTTATATTACATCTCATTTCCTTTACTTTTTTAATTTTTTGTTTTCAGCTTTAGGAGTACAACTGGTTTTTTATTTCACAGATCAATTATAGAGTGAAGTCTGGGCTCTTAATGTACATGTCACCCCAATAGTGTACATTGGACCCAAAAGGTGATCTTTTATCCCTCATTTTCCCTATCCTCCCTTTTTCTCAATCTCCAATGTCCATTATACCACTCTGTATGCCTAAAAGATACTCTTAGCAGTCCAGAGATTCCAAGCTTTAGAAGCTATGTGTAAGGAACCCTCAATGTTTTTAAATTATTTCACAGCACCCTAACTTCTACCCAGTTTTGCTAATTGATCAAACAATTATATTAGCAAGAACCTCTTCCATTATACATCCTATTTATAGCCCTCTGATATTGCCATTCTTATTCATTTTTTACTTATTTATTTGTTTAAGATAGGGTCTCACTCTGTTACCCAGGCTGGAGTGCAGTGGCACAACCTCGTCTCACCACAACCTCTGCCTCTCAGGTTCAAGCAATTCTCCTGCTTCAGCCTTCCGAGTAGCTGGGATTACAGGTACACACCACCACAACTGGCTAATTTTTGTATTTTTAGTAGATACAGGGTTTCGCTATGTTGGCCAGGATAGTCTCCAACTCCTGACCTCAGGTGATCTGCCCACCTTGGCCTCCCAAAGTACTGGGATTACAGGTGTAAGCCACCAGGCCCAGCCTCAGTTGCTTCTTAATCCAGTCCATCACTCAGGAAATTTCCAAGGATTTGGAGGTCCTTTCCAAGAACCAGGGACAAAAGCCAGCCCAATCTCCCATTCCTATTTATATTTTAACCATACTGAAATAATGAAATCACACTTTTCAATATTTTAATAATGAAATCATACTTTTAAATATTTTAATAACTTAAGAATCTGCTGCTCAGATTAGGATGCTCTTAAACCATCCAAAAGCACAATGGTTTAGAAGCCAATGTGTCTGACTCCTCCAATATTTCACTATTTGCTTGGGGTTTACTGTTTTGCATAAAATAGCAACCTAAAATGTCTCCAATATTTTCTTTCTTTAGAATATGAAACATTACTCCCCTCCCCTGACCCATCTCCCTTTTATCCCCAGAGTTTTCTCTCTTTCTTTTAAAAAACATAGAAACATAGTTTCTACCTGGAATATCAACAAGGAAAGATGAGTAAGATTCAATTCTTTTAATGATGTGTATAAAATTAGGTTTCCTTAAGGGCACTGTTAAATAAGTGAGCTACATGGAGAAAATATTCACCCTGACACTGCTGCCTTCACTAGAAAAGCTGTTATGATTTGATGGATGAGAAATGAAAAAGTCCTACAACTGCTGCTCTATTCATTAATTACTAAAGTAGGCTCAGCTATGAGAGAAAAGTAGTCCTCTCAGGCATTAGCCTGTTACCACTGTAGAAACAACTGACCACACCCTCCACTAGCCTTTGTGTTCTTATCTTATTAGGGTGTAAGTCAGCTTCAAAAGGAAAAAAGTAGGTATGCAAGTTAGAGACTGCCAAACTAATATCAAAGTCAGTCTTGAAAATGCCTTTAAAAATCTTTTCATGTATACTCCCATTCTAGACTTTCCAAAATGCAGATTCAATTCAGCAAATTACTCCTCGTTTATAGCTAGTTGTTGACACTGTACTCTTTATCCCTAAAGGCTTGTGAATTATTTTTAAAGTGGAAGGAAATAGAAGGAACATAATAAGCCATGTTAACATTTCTTGAGTTTAAGAAATAATTTATTTTGAATTTTCCTGTTAGATGAAATGGCAGACACTGTTCATCAACTATATAACAGGTAGGATAGTCGTAATATCCTTCCTCCTTGTTCATGAACAGTGATACTTACACCTGTCAATAAACATTTGAGTTTCCATTTCTTGCTATTACAAACTGCATTGCTATGAACATTCCTGCACTTCCTTCACTTGTCTCTCAGTGCAAATGTGCAAGTGTTTCTCTAGGGGGGAAACTGCTGAATCACGGTTGATACAAGAATTTTTGTGCCACATTTTTTTCCAAAGTGGTTATACCAGTTTATATTCCCGTTCAAAGTATATGTGTTCCTCTTACTTCATATTCTCACCAACACTATTTATTGTTAGATTTAATTTTTGCCAGTCTCATGGGTGGGGTAACCAGGTATTATATTATGGTTTTAATTTGCATTTCCTTAATTAATAATAAGATAGAATATTTCAATAGGGTAATTGGCTATTCTGCTTTTCTCTACTATGAAATGCCTAGTCAAGATTTTGCCCATTTTTCTATTGAATCATTTTCTAACTGATATATAAAAGTTATGTATATATCCTGGGTAAGGACTTTCTGTCAGTTATACAAATTGTAAATGTCCGTCTCAGTTGTGCCTTGTGTTTTCATTCTCTTTGCTGTCTTTTGGTAAATAAAAATTCTTAATAAAGTTGAATTAATGAATCTTTTCCTTTATGATTTGTCCTTTCATCTTATTTAAGAAATCCTCTTCCACTTCAAGTCATTAAGATATTTTTCTACAACATTGCTAACAATTTCATAGTTTTGTCTTTCACATTTAAATCTTAATGCACCTAGATGAGGTGCAGTGGCTCACGCCTATAATCCCAGCACTTTGGGAGGCCAATGTGGATGGATCACTTGAGGTCAGGAGTTTGAGACCAGCCTGATTAACATGGTGAAACCTCATTTCTACTAAAAATACAAAAATTAGCCAGGCGTGGTAGCAGGGGCCTATAACCCCAGCTACTCAGGAGGCTGAGGCAGGAGAATCACTTGAACCCAGGAGGCAGAGGTTGCAGTGAGCCAAGAGCACACCACTGCACTCCCGCCTGAGTGATAGGGCAAGACTCAGTCTCAAAAAAAAAAAAACCAAAAATATATATCTTGGGCAGGTTATGGTGGCTCAGGCCTATAATCCCAGCACTTTAGGAGGCCAAGGTGGGCGGATCACCTGAGGTCAGGAGTTCGAGACCAGTCTGACCAACATGGAGAAACCCCTTATCTACTAAAAATACAAAATTAGCCAGACATGGTGGCACATGTCTATAATCCCAGTTACTCAGGGGGCTGAGGCAGGGGAACTGCTTGAACCCAGGAAGTGGAGGTTGCAGTGAGCTGAAACCGTGCCATTGCACTCCAGCCTGGGTGACAAAAGTAAAACTCCATCTTCAAAAAAAAAAAAAAAATATATATATATATATATATAAACGCATGTATAATTTATTTTTATCACATGGATGGATAGTCAAATTCCTTGGCATCATTTATTCAAACATCTAGTCTTTCACTGCTGATTTGCTTTAAGTTTCCATATATGCAAAGATTTCTTACTCTCTATTCTATTCCATTAGTCTATTTGTCTATCTTTGAACACATAGCTTTATAAATCTTAATATCCAGGATGCCAGTATAGTCAGCCCTCCAACCTGTATTTCTTCAAAAATGGCTTGTCCATTCTTGATTTTTTGCATTTCCATATGAATTTTAAAATTAGGTCTTTGGGTTTAAATACACAATTGAGACTTTGATCAGAATTGCATTGAATTTCATGCTCCTGTGACACTAGCATGAGTCCTTCCCCCAGTTCTACAATTAAGACTCCTAACAATTCATTTATTCAGCCAACAAATACTTACAAGAGCCTAGGATATGGCAAAAATTATAGTGAACACCAAGGATACAATGGTGCAGAAAACAGAATTAGTCCCTGCATTGGTCAAGGCTTCAGAGAAGTGAAAGTTGTGGGAGAGGGACGGGGGAAGAATAGTAGTATACTTATTGTTTTTCCATTTGCTTTCATTCCATTTTTCATTTGTAAGCTAGGTTAATCATTTTGAAGTCCCCTTGCTTACCTAGTCCTTTACTTCATGTATTAGTCAGGGGTCTCCAAAGAAACAGAGCCAACAGGATATGATAGACAGAGGGAGGTTTACTTTAAGGAAATTGGCTCATGGGATTATGGAGGCTTAGTGAGTTCAAAATTGGATGAGATTGACCAGCAGGCTGGAGGCTTAGGTAAGAATTGCAGTTAGAGACCAAAGGCAGTCTGCTGGCCAAATTCCTTCTTGCTCAAAGAGTCTTCGTTCTATTAGAGTTTTCAACTGATTGGATGAGGTCCACCCCCATTATAGAGGGTACTTTGCTTAACTCAAACTCCACTAATTTAAATGTTAATCTTACTCAAAGACACCCTCACAGAAACATCCAGAATAGTATTTGACAAATATCTGGGCATTGCGGCCCAGTCAAATTGACACATACACTTAACCACCTTCTTTTTGAGAAAAGGTCTTGCTCTGTTGCCTAGGCTGGAGAGCAGTGGCACACTCATGGCTCACTGCAGCCTTGACCTTCCAGGCTCAAGCAGTCCTCCACCTTAGCCTCGCTAGTAGCTGGGACTACAGACGTGCACCATCATACCTGGCTAATTTTTGGATTTTTTGTAGAGACAGGGTTTCACCATGTTGCAGAGGCTGGTCTTGAACTCCTGAGGTCAAGGGATCCATCTACCTTGGCTTCCCAAGTGGTGGGATTACAGGCATGAGCTACTGCATCCGGCCAAACCATCACATTTCTTACCCTTTCCTCTGTTGCCTATATCCTTGAATCCACTTTTCTTTTTTACACAAAAGGAAAACTTGCATAGAAGAGGGAAAAAGGGATAAAAAGAATATGTGTCAAGGCCATTCCATCTGATTCCTTCTTTTTCTTCAAGTTTAAGCTGTGAGGAAGGGTTCAACTTTTCAGCCTGACAACTGACCCTGAAGCTCCTGCAAGTAGCATTGTGTTCATATTCACCTCCCTCAAAATCTCCTAGTACATGCATAGATTATGCTGCAAACCTTGCTGTAGCTAAAGAAAACAAACCTCATAAAGCAGAGTGTTTCTTAGGATATGATAAACGCAAAGTCGTTTGCAGTTTTTGTTTGCTTATTTTAAGACTGAAAGGGCCTACATAGACTTTCCATGTGAAAAGAAATTTAGTTTTCAACCTGAAATAATAGAAATAATTTAAACTAATTAATTAAAGTCCTATAAAATAATCTGAAAAAGAAAAATTTGTCAAATACAAAACAAGAGGGCTCTTTGGGGGATACTGGGAGAATATGTGTATTTATTTATTTAATTATTTATTTGAGACAGAGTCTCACTGTCTCACCCAGGCCAGAGTGCAGTGGTGCAATCTCAGCTCACTGCAACTTCCACCTCCTGGGTTCAAGAGATTCTCCTGCTCAGCCTCCAAAGCAGCTGGGATTACGGGTGCCCACCATCATGCCCAGGTAATTTTTGTATTTTTAGTAGAGACAGCGTTTCGCTATGTTGGCCAGGCTGGTCTCAAATTCCTGACCTCAGGTAACCCACCTGTCTCAGCCTCCCAAAGTGCTGAGGTTACAAGCATGAGCCACTGTGCCCGGCCTGCTTGTTTTTAATTTTTTGTAGAGACGGAGATCTCCCTATTGTTGCCCAAGCTGGTCTTGAACTCCTGGACTCAACTGATCCTCCTGCCTCAGCCTCTTAAAGTGCTGGGATTACAGGCATGAGCCACTGTACTAAGACTTGTTTGTTTTTCTAAATCTCTCTTTCACACAAATGAAAAAAGATATACCAAATAACAAAGTGTATCCTGCTTGTAAAATCATATAAAATAATTTCTTCAGGATGGGCATAAAACTCAGCTTATACACAGACAATAGCAATCTACAGAGCTTTATAAGATAAGTGGGCAAATATACAAACCAGAATTCACCTTGGCTCAGTTGAAAAGTCCACCATCAGAAGAGTTTACACTACCATCTAGTGGTTCATTTAGTGAAAAGACATTTGTACTCTTCAAAATGTTTCAACTAAATAAGTAGGCAATCTAGGAAATACAAATAAACCACTTTGTCCTGAGAAAAAACAGGCTAAGATCAACAAAACAAACACTTAGATATATAGTAGGCCAGGGTGGACAGACTATTGGATTAAAAGCCTCAGATTTAACTTCTAGCTCTGAGATCTACTATTCACAGCTGTGTGATTTTGGACATGTAATTTTACCTCTCGCAACTTGTTTCTTATTTGTTAAATGAAGTGACTGCAGTAGATTGGTATTTCTGAAGTAGTAAGTAACATATTAGCCAAAATTAATATAACAGATCATGACCAGATTTTAAGAAATTTAAACAGAACAAAAAATTCAAGTACATATTCAACAGCCCTTTACGCTAAAAACTCTCAATAAACTAGGTATCGACGGAATGTATCTCAAAATAATAAAAGCTTTTTACAACAAACCCACAGCCAATATCACACTGAAGGGCAAAATCTGGAAGCATTCCCTTGGATATCAGGCACTAGACAAGGATGCCCTCCCTCACCACTATTATTCAATATAGTACTGGAAGTTCTAGCCAGAGCAATCAGACAAGAAAAAGAAATAAAGGATATTCTATTAGGAAAAGAGGAAGTCAAATTGTCTCTATTTGCAGATGACATGATTGTTTATTTAGAAGACCCCATTGTCTCAGCTCAACACCTCCTTAAAGTGATAAGCAACTTCAGCAAAGTCTCACGATATAAAATCAATGTGCAGAAATCACAAGCTTTCCTATACACCAATAACAGACAAACAGAGAGCTGAATCAAGAGCGAACTCCCATTCACAATTGCTACAAAGAGAATAAAATACCTAGGAATACAACTAACAAAGGATGTTAAGGACCTCTTCAAGGGGAACTACAAAGCACTGCTCAAGGAAATAAGAGAGGATACAAACAGATGGAAAAACATGCCATGCTCATGGTTAGGAATAATCAATATCGTGAAAATGGCCATATTGCACAAAGTAATTTATAGATTTAACACTATCCCCATCAAACTACCAATGACTGTCTTCACAGAACTGGAAAAAAACACTTTAAACTTCATATGGAACCAAAGGAGAGCCCTCATAGCCAAAACAATCCTAAGCAAAAAGAACAAAGCTGGAGGCATCATGCTACCTGACTTCAAACTATACTACAAGGCTACAGTAATCAAAATAGCATGGTACTGGTACCAAAACAGAGATATAGACCAATGGAACAAAACAGAGGCCTCGGAAGCAACAGCGTACATCTACAACCATCTGATTCAAAAATAAGCAATGGCGAAAGGATTCCCTGTTTAATAAATGATGTTGGGAAAAATGGCTAGCAATGTGCAGAAAGCAGAAACTGGACCTCTTCCTGATAGCTTACACTAAAATTAACTCCAGACAGATTAAAGATTTAAACATAAGACCTAACACCATAAAAATCCTAGAGGAAAACCTAGGCAAAACCATTCAGGACATAGGCATAGGCAAGGACTTCATGACTAAAACACAAAAAGCAATGGCAACAAAAGCCAAAATAGACAAACGGGATCTAATTAAATTTCAGAGCTTCTATACAGCAAAGGAAACAGTCATTAGAGCAAACCGGCAACCAACAGAATGAGAAAAAAATTTTGCAGTCTATGCATCTGACAAAGGGCTAATATCCAGAATCTTCAAAGAACTTAAACAGATTTACAAGGAAAAAAAAAAAAAAAAAAAAAAAAAAAAAAAAAAAAAAAAAAAAAAAAAAAAAAAAAGCAAGCCCATTTAAACATGGGTGAAAGACATGAACAAACACTTTTCAAAAGAAGACATATATAAGGCCAAGAAACATGAAAAAATGCTCATCATCACTGGTCATTAGAGAAATGCAAATCAAAACCGTAATGAGATACCATCTCATGCCAGTTAGAATGGCAATCATTAAAAAATCTGGAGACAACAGATGCTGGAGAGGATGTGGAAAAACAGGAAAACTTTTACACTGTTGGTGGGAGTGTAAATTAGTTCAACCATTGTGGAAGACAGTGTGGTGATTCCTCAAGGACCTAGAAATACAAATTTCATTTGACCCAGCAATCCCATTACTGGGTATATACCCAAAGGATTATAAATGGTTCTATTATAAAGACACAAGAATATGCATGTTCACCGCAGCACTGTTTACAATAGCAAAGACCTGGAACCAACACAAATGCCTGTTGATAACAGACTGGACAAGGAAAATGTGGCACATATACAGCACAGAATACTATGCAGCTATGAAAAAACAATGAGTTCATGTCCTTTGTAGGGACATGGATGAATCTGGAAACCATCATTCTCAGCAAATTGACACAAGAACAGAAAATCAAACACTGCATGTTCTCACACATAGGTGGGCGTTGAACAATGAGAACACATGGACGCAGGGTGGGAAGCATCACACACTGGGGTCTGTTGCAGGGCCTAGGAGAGGGACAGTGGGGATGGGGTGGGTGGGGAGGGGTAATGTGGGGAGAAATGCCAGGTATAGGTGATGGGGGGATGGAGGCAGCAAACTACCTTGCCATGTTTGTACCTATGCAACAATGCTGCATGATCTGCACATGTACCCCAGAACCTAAAGTACAATAAAATTTTAAAAAATCAAGTACATCTGTTACTATGGGTCATAGCTAAAAGAGTTGGAAAGTCTCTACGGTTCCTATCAACTCTAAAATTTCATGTTCCTATGAATTACGGACATCGGTTCTGCCTCAGGGTGCTAATACAGAGATCATAGCTGCCTAGTTTATAGTCAGATAAAACCTAGAACAGTCTGCTGAACAGGGGTGATATCTTTTATTTCTCTCTTATAATAACTCAAAAAGACTCCAATCAAAATAGATGGAAATATTTGCCTGGTTGTGTTTACACATTTTGTTTTCTTTTCTTCCTCCAGAAACTACCACCAGTCTTTCTACCACAGTATTTCTCAAAACATGGTCCAGAGACCAACTGCCTCAGATTCACTTGGAGTGCTTCTTTAAAATACACATCTTTATCTCCCCTCTCTCACTACCAGACCTACCAAATTAGAATTTCT